GTGATAAGAAAATATATAATAAAATGTCTTGAAGAACAAGTCGTCGTAGCTGGACCTACTGGAATCGCAGCTCGCAATGTAAATGGTTTAACTATACATAGATTGTTAAATTTGCCTGTTGAACATGGAGGTATTGCTAAGTACACACAGTTAAACAATGCTAAATTAAAACAAGGAAGAACGCTATATTCGAGTACCTCGACTATCAAATACCCGTTACTCAAAGGGAAATGGAGATATGCAAGCAGCAAAGCGAGATTAAAATGCGCCACCTACCGGCGGAAGACAGATTTAAGCGTTATGGGCGTTAGAGTGGGCGTGGCAAATTTATTTTTAGATCAATCGATAGGTATTGACGACACCAATACATTTCAATTAAAATTTTTTATCTAGCATGCAAATTGTGGGCGTCACAGGTTTTCGCGGTTTGTGGGCGTTTAAGTGGGCGTGGCAAACTTTTTTTTAGGTCAATCGATAGGTATTGATGAGAACAATACATTTCAGTTAAAATTTTCTATCTAGCATCAAAACTGTAGGAGTTACAGTTTTGGGCGGTTTGTGGGCGTTACAGTGGACGTGGCAGTCTACTGAAACAAACTTGCGCTGCGTAAGAAGCTCAGGAATCTGTACGCCAAATCTCAATAGCCTAGCTCTCATAGTTTCCGAGATCTCAGCGTTCATCCGGACAGACAGACGGACAGACGGACAGACGGACAGACGGACATGGCTAGATCGACTCGGCTAGAGATCCTGATCAAGAATATATATACTTTATGGGGTCGGAAACGCTTCCTTCTGCCTGTTACATACTTTCCGACGAATCTAGTATACCCTTTTACATTATATATAATTATAATGTATAATTAATGCGAGATAAGCTTAGAAATGTTTGCCTTATTATAATTGATGAAATTTCGATGGTTTCCAATGTAACATTACAGTATATAAATTTACGATTATGCGAAATATTTGATATTTTGGAACATCCAGATGGCTGGTTTGCAAGAATAAATATATTATTTCTAGGCGATTTAATGCAACTACACCCAGTAAACGAACCTTCTCCATTTGTTAATATGTCTAAACAAAGATTTCAAAAACATTTTTCTGGTCTGCACGCCTCATATTTATGGGCCAAGTTATTTTCTTACGATGAGCTAACTTAAAATGTAAGACAACAAACAGATCAAGATTCCGCACAGACCCTAGCACATGTACGGATAGGCATTTTGGATGAGAAAGATTGTCAGCTTTTATCCAAACGAGAAATTAAATTAAATAGCGATACAATTGAATGTCTTCCGAACTCATCGAATATATAAGAAAGCTACCTGCGCATACAAATGTTTGTTTGCTGGACCAATTCCTTCAAAAAAAATATTGCTCATGGCTGAAGATTTAATCGAAGCTAAGACTGCCATTCAAAAAGTTAAATCAGACAAATCTCTGGACATTCTTAAAAAGAAATGTAAACATTCAGAAACAGCTAATTTAGCAGATACAATAGAAGTTAAAATAGATGCAAAAATAATGTTGCTTCGAAATTTAGGTGTTGCATCAGGGTTAGTTATTGGATCTATAGGGGTAATAAAGAAGCTGCGTGAAGAAGTAAGTGTCGTCAACGCGCGCACTTCTAAAATTGTTGTAAAGTTGAACGTATCGAATCAATATTTCAACTTAATCAAAATGTTTTTATACCCGTTACTCGTAGAGTAAAAGGGTATACTAGGTTCGTCGGAAAGTATTTAACATGCAGAAGGAAGCGTTTCCGACCCCATAAGGTATATATATTCTTGATCAGGATCACTAGCCGAGTCGATCTACCCTATCCCTCTGTCTGTCTGTCCGTATGAACGCTGAGATCTCGGAAACTATAAGAGCTAGGCTATTAAGATTTGGCGTGCAGATTCCTGAGCTTCTTACGCAGTTTCAGTTTCAGCAGAGTGCCACGCCCACTCTAACGCCCACAAACCGCCCAAAACTGTGGCTCCTACAGTTTTGATGCTAAAATAAAAATTTTGGGATAAATGTATTGTTCTCATCAATACCTATCGATTGACCCAAAAGAAGTTTGCCACGCCCACTCTAACGCCCACAAACCGCCCAAACCTGTGACGCCCACAATTTTCATGCTAGATACAAAATTTAACTGAAATGTATTGATATCGTCAATACCTGTCGATTGATCCAAAAAAAAAATTTCAACGCCCACTGTAACGCCCATAACGCTGGTAGGTGGCGCATTTTAATCTCGCTTTGCTGCTTGCATATCTCCATTTCTTTTTGGTCCCTTTAGCTGAGTAACGGGTATCTGATAGTAGAGGTACTCGACTATAGCGTTCTTCCTTGTTTTAATTGGAAAACAATTTCCACTATGTTTGGCGGACGCAATAACTATTCATAAAAGCCAAGGGTTAACAATCACACTCTGAGATTTTGATTTTGGTGTAGCATATTCGTAAATGGTCACACTTATGTTGCACTTTCTCGTTTAAAAACTCTATCTGGCTTACAATTCTTAACGTTAATCCTTAAAGTATTAGGACAAATAAGGGCAATATAATAGAGTACAATAGATTAAGAAGTTTATATAGAATAGATCTGCAACATCTTGTTGGTAATAATAAAAAAATAAAAATATTTCTGATAAAAATATATATTTGAGGCGTCAAACAACGGCTATCATTGAGCCAAAAGTATTAGATACAAATGTAAGCAGCAAGAAAAACGCCAGTAAAGTTATTTTCCACAATATACGTGGTATGGAAAATCCAAATAATGCTTGGTATGCGAACTCGGTTTTTCAGTGCCTTATAAATATTATGTTTATCAAGGAATCAGTATTGAATGATCAGAATAATACCATTTTATAGGCACCATTTTTAAATTACACAAACCCTTTATTAATAGGGAAAAATTTAGACATTTCCGATTTACGTTCGGAAATATTAAATAATATTGAACAACAAGACAGTAGAGATTTTTTGAAGCAGCTTTTGGAATGCCCTTCCTTGCAACAAACTAAAACATTTTTTATACATAAGCATATAAAATTATAAAGTGCTCTAACTGTGATTATAGGAGAAACATACAAATAGATGAAAACTTGGTTGCTCAACTTCATATTCCCCAAAGTAGAAAATGTACACTAAAATAATTAATAAGCTATAATTACGGTTCATGCCGAACTATTGAAAGCAGCAGTTGTACACACTGCACCAGCCATCTTCAACGTCAGTCCCTTATTGAAAATTCAGGCCGAATACTTGTGTTCTCACTTAGTTTAGTCGATCAGGCGGATACGAAGATAACCAATTTTAATTTGAAAATAAGAGATATTGTTTACCAAGTGAAATATTTCATCACGGTCAAGGTTTTAACGAAGGACATTATACATATATTTTCCGAAAAGATGGAAATCTATACAAAGCCGGTGATGCAACAATAACTAAATCTTCTTGACCCCGGAACAGCAAAGATATTTATATACTTTTTTATGAGGAGAAATAAGTCTTTAAAGTTATGATCTATAATTACAAAGAAGTAGAAAGTGTAGTAAACATAATTTAAGTTATTGCATAAAATATTTACATTTGTTTTGGTTGGCAAAAATGCCCATACTGAACCCTATTCGAGGGTGCCGACTGGAAATGACGCTACAGTGCCTAATTTAAGGTGGCGTTCAGCTAAGATTAGGGGTCGAATCTGTGTGTTTGGTTTTTCAATAGCAAAGCCATTTGGGGACGACGCCTAGTCATGGTATTGACACTTGTGCAAATGCGTATGGAATGTAATATCATTTTTCGTCACAATTGTTGATATCAGAAATTTTTGTTAAAGGCGCGTTCGCCACTACTTTTTACCTCGTTAAGAGGTGTTTTTGTTTGATAAATGTATAGTCACATACATAAACAGCTGTCTTAGTAGGAAGAGAGGTTAAAAAATCAAATTTCCGATGGCGGAACGATAAATGTAAAGAAAACAAGAGAGAATGTTATAGTCTAGTATCTCGACTATCAGATATTCGTTACTCAACTCTTAAATTGAAAACTGATAAAAGCAGCGCTCTTCGCTTTACATCACAGGTTGGCATGCCACTATTTACACACACATGCATTAATACATTTTTTAATAACAAACAATGGCTCTGACGTCATTGCTTTTCTTCTTGGGTGGCTTGTGGGCGTTAGAGTGGGCGTCGAAAACTTTTTTCAACTCAATCGATAGGTATTGGCGAGACCAATACATTTCAGTAAAATTTGTTTTTAAACTGTAGGAGCCACAGTTTTGAACGGTTTGTGAGCGTGGTGCATTGCCAAAATAAACTTGCGCTGCGTAATAATCTTCAGAATCTGCATGCCTAATCCCAACTGTCTAGCCTTTGTAGTTTCCAAAATCACAGCGTTCATACGGACGGATTGACAAAGGGAAAGGCTAGATTGACTCACCTAGTGTTCCTGATCAAGAATATACACACTTTATGGGCTCGGAAACGCTTAATTTTACCTGTTACATGCTTTCCGACGATATACCCCTATGCTTTACGAGTAACGGGTATAAAAATAACAAGAAAGATAGCTAACTTAAGTTAGCAAAACTTCTGACTGAAATTATTATACCCTCTGCAGGATTTTAAAAAGAAAAACACTGATAAGTTGGGTGTTAGAATAAGTGCACGTTTGAAACAAAACTAACTGTTTTCTGTTTAGCAAAGACAGATAAAACTGAGAACAGAAATAAACGTATTTCGTTCTGAAAATATTCCAAATTTGACGAATTCGACTGTTATTTGCAAGCTGTGGAACTTTTCATCTGAACTTTCCAAAAATATCCTACAACAAATGCATGTATAAATTACGTAACCCCTAATATATAACCCCTAAATCCTCCTTCTCTGGTTAACAAATATTTCGAATTTGTAAACGTGGTCAATGTCGGATGCTTTGATCATTTAGGAAATTTTCGGAACCACAAATTCTTATGGATCACTGAAATGTTAATGAATTGTATGAACATTTTTCAAGAAAAAGTATATTTAAAGATAATATTTATAAAAATAAGTGCACCGTTGTGATGTTTCGTCGTTTTAAGGAGGTATATAGATTGTCTGCTTGTTTACAATTTTCCCGCTTAGTGCAGATAAGCGCCAAGCAGTTTTGTCTAAAATAACACAAATTATCGAATTGAATCGTGATGTTCTTCTAATTTAACTTACGCCTTCAAGGTAGTTGTAGACATAGATTTTTTCATTTTGAGAGTGGGCGCCGTCGTCACATGCTCCCACTGGCACAAGGATGACATTTTTGCCGGTGGCTTCCTGCAATGTCAATGTTACTGGTATGGATCCCCCCTCACGGGTCATGTCGGGTTCTACATTGAAAACATGCCTTATGCCCCGTTTCGCAGCCTGATAATGGGGATGGTTTGGGTCCTCTGTCCAGGGCTTTCCAGCTGAGAGCATAGTAACCTTCAATCACAATCATTATAATCTAGAGTAAAACGAAGAGGAATTCAAAAACAAACCTTTATTTTGTTAGGCGAACCTCTCTCTGTCCATTTTGCTCTAATGTATTTACTGACACACTCCTGGTCGGGCACAAGTCGAAGTGAGAACTTGCCAATCACTTCCTTCGGAATGACGGTCTTTGCCCCTGGCTCATAAATCGCACCTTCGATTCCATGGAATTCCACCTGGCTTGAAGCAGCCTGGTTTTGTCGCCATTATGCGGCAGCTGGTCAACACCAATGTCTTTCCTAAAGAGATTACAGCTATTCATATATTAAATGCGTCGATAGGAAGATAAGATTAACTAACATGTACTCAGAAACTTGAAAGTCAATGTTCTCGTATATTGCCTGCTCGTTCTTTAGTTCGGGTGCAACCTGTATCAATTCGAGAACAGTTAAACTTTAAAAGTAAGCTTTTGGTTTTTTTATACAAAATACTAACATCACGATCCACTCCAGGGACCAGGATCCTTGGATTTGGATCCTTGTCGACAAGAACGCTGAGCAAGTGACATTCATTCGGCATAGCTTCGTGGACGGTTCCCCCAAATACTCCACTGTGCAAATCTTTGTTTGAGCATTCCACCTCCACTTGGAAGTATGACAGTCCACGGAGCCCATATGTTAGGCAAGGGCGCTTCTTCCCTAGCCTTCCCATCGGCAAGGAAATCGTTTTTGCGTTCCATTAACAAGTCGTCGAGGCCTTCGATGCCGCTCTTTTCCATCCCTTCAAAAACAAACTTCACGTTTAGTGGCAGCGGAATATTATGCTTTATGTAAGCCTTAGTAGCATGGACCCAGCACAGCACAGGTCCCTTGTCATCGGACGCCGCGCATCCTAACAACTTTCCATCTACCTCTGTAAGCTCAAAGGGATTGGTGTTCCATTCATTTTCCTTCAGAGCAGGCTTCACATGAAAATTGCCGTATACCAACACTGTCTTCTTGGAGGCGTCCTTCCCCAGAGTTCCAAGCAGGACCTTTGGCAGATGGATTATCTGGCCACTCGGCAAGATTTGTTGGCCCACATCCACCAGTTCTATTTCAGAGCTCAGGGTCCTGAGCCGATATGCAGTCCATTCTACCACGCGATCAATCTCTCCTCGGTTTTTTGGCCAAGCTGAAACGGACTGAATTCTCACAACGGTTTTAAGGGCGTCGATGTAAGCTCTTTTTTTCCGTCCACAAAGCTGAAAAGCGACTTCGGTTTATTACCATTATGTAATAAGCTGACAGAAATGATGATATCTGTTCTAAACTAAAACAATTTTCGACTCAGCTCACGTGTTAGTTAATGGTGCTTGAGGCCATTATATTCGTGGATAGAATGGACGATTGTTTGGCATAAACTAAACTAAGGATATTTTAGTCGCAAAACTTGAAACATTGATAAGGAAAAGCATGGGACCCACATCCTACCAATTTCATGTCAATGGGACTACAACCACATTACCCACAAATTAGTTATATTCAAGAAATTGTTTTTTTTGGGAACACATTTTTTTAAATTAGCTTTTAAGAGTCAAACAGTCAAAAACACATTCCAAAAGTTTAAAATAAAATCATTTAAGATGGTACTGTATGTAAAATGTATAACTGTAAGCATTTAATACGATGATTCAAGAGGCAAATATTGAGTGAATGGGCCAAAGAGCAACCTAAATAAAGTTTTAAATATTATTATTATAAGATAAAAATCAACAATAATATTTTATTTTATTTTAGCTATGAGGTACAGTTCTTAGTCATTAGTTTATTACCATTATTTCGCCACCTTTACAAGAATAATTAATGGCATATTTAATTATAATTAATTATTTTTTGACCGTACCACAACTTTTTCAACCAAATATTTTTCGTAGCATCATTTATTGTTTTGTTAATGGACGATAAATGTATAGTAACATACAAAAACTGCTGTCTTAGTAGGAAGAGAGGTTAAAAAATTAAATATTCCGATGGCGGAACGCTAAAGTCGAATATCTCGACTATCAGATATTCGTTACTCAACTCTTAAATTGAAAACTGATAAAAGCTTAAGTAAAAATGTTAAGATGACCGCTTTAAAATTGGAGTACGCTTTGAAAATTCTCAAAAAATTGCATTAGGCACACGGGTTTCGCCATGCAAGAGTTAGCCGTAGACTAATGGGAAAACATAAAGACTTACAGCGCTGTTACGTGTACAAACTTTCGGTCCTTTTACTACCTTTTTGTACTTTTCAGCACTGGATAAATGATCTTTCGCCTCTTTCTTATTCACTTATGTGAATGCACTGCAGGTCAGAATGGAGAGAGGGGTAACGCAAAAAGCGAGAAGCCACCATCCGCGTCCCTTCCATTGTTTTTCAGCTTTAAAGCTTTATAGCTTACATTAACATAATCGGAATTAGATTACTAAAATTGGTATTGCATTTATTGGAGAGAAAGGGGTGGAGACAAAAAGGACAAGTTGCTAAAATTGTTAATTAGTCAATAGAATAAGTTTGCCGCTCTGTTCACTCTTAGCGCCGGCAGCGCTCTTCACTTTGCATCACAAGTCGGCCTGAAACTATTTACACACACATGCATAAATACATTTGTTATTAACAAACAATGGCTCTGACGTCATTGCTTTTCTTCTTGGGTGGTTTGTTGGCGTTAGAGCGGGTGTCGAAAACTTTTTTCAACTCAATCGATAGGTATTGGCGAGACCAGTTTCAGTTAAATTTATTTTTAAGCTGTAGGAGACACAGTTTTGGGTGGTTTGTGAGCGTGGTACATTGCCAAAATAAACTTGCGCTGCGTAATAATCTTCAGAATCTGCACGCCTAATCCCAACTGTCTAGCCCTGTAGTTTCCGAGATCACAGCGTTCATACGGACAGACAGACAGAGCGATAGGGTAGATCGACTCAGCTAGTGTTCCTGATCAAGATATATGATATGATGGACGTTGATGCACTACGAGCAGTACAAACAAGTGGCCCAACGACACCAAGCACGTGCTTGTTACGCGCGGGGCCCTTTTATCAATTTGGGCAAAAAATACGAGTTCGCGAGGAAGATACAAAAAACAAATAGAGACGGGACACAAATGAAAATAAAAGAAGCATCTAAGAATGAAGCAAATGAGTTAAAATATTAGTTTTTAGTACCGGGATAGAAGTTGAAGTGCAAATTAAATGATAAAGGTTGTTATAATTATTACATAGAACGCGAAAGGGCTCGTGCAGACAAAAATTAGATGTACATCGTGGCAAATTTAGGGGATAATAATTTCGTGTTAGTCTAACAGGAACATTGAAAGTTAGGCGGTTTACAAGTTCTACAGAATCAATATCACCTCTTATAAGATTTTGCATAAAAATAGTACCAAGCATTGTTCTACGATTTGCAAGGGTAGGTAAATTAAGCAATAGTAATCTACTCTGATAGGAAGGTAGCCTTATGTTTTGATCCCAGTTCAAACTACGAAGGGCAAAAAGAAGAAATTTTTTTTGTACCGACTCAATACGGTCAATATGCACTTGATATTGTGGACTCCAAACCGAAGAACAATATTCCAAAATAGGACGGACAAGGGAGGTAAATAATAATTTGGTTGTATAAGGGTCATCAAATTCTTTTGACCAACGCTTTATAAACCCAAGAACACTCATGGCCTTGCTGACAGTGGACATTATGTGGCAGTCAAATTTAAGTTTTGGGTCCAGAAGAACGCCTAAGTCATTAACTGAATATATACGATCGAGTGGCGTATTTTGAAGAGAGTAACTAACAAAAGTAGGAGTACCCCTATGAAAAGTCATAACGTTGCATTTAAGGCAGTTCAAATTTAAAAGGTTATACTCACACCATCCCTGAAAACAATCAATATCTGACTGTAAGTTGAAACCCGACGCTATATCATTATGTGATAAACAAAGCTTAACATCATCAGCATACATTAGTACACGAGAGTGTGTTATGATAGAGGGAAGATCGTTAATAAACAAAGTAAACAGCAAAGGGCCCAAATGACTACCCTGAGGCACTCCAGATGTCACATAGATCAGTTTTGAGGCAGCGTTCTTGAATATAACCCTCTGAGTCCTACCATTCAAATAATTTGAAATCCAAGTTAATAGATTACATGGAAACCCAAGCTGATTTAATTTGAATAAGAGAAGAGAGTGGTTGACAGAGTCAAAGGCCTTACTAAAATCTGTGTATATAACGTCAGTCTGCATTTTATTCTTAAATTTATTTATTACAATAGATGACAATTCCAGAAGGTTGGTGGTGGTCGATCTTCGCTTAACAAAACCATGCTGACACGGTGATATTAGCGAGGAACATAAATGTTGCAAATGAGAAGTAATAATACGTTCAAATGCTTTAGGAATTGCCGACAATTTAGAAATACCTCTGTAATTCTGGGCATCCGCCTTCGCACCCTTTTTGTGAAGTGGAATGATAAAAGAGTCCTTCCAGATAGTAGGAAAAACTGACGATGAAATAGACAAATTAAAAAGTTTAAGAATCGGTTTACATATGGTTGACGCACAAAACTTAAGCACACACCCGGGGAGTCCATCAGGACCGGGAGAATAAGTTGGCGTTGTTTTTTCTAAGTCTCTTACGAGAGAAATTTCCGTAATTTCAGGGGTAAAGATGCAATTTGCCTTATTTAAGGGATTAGGGTAGTTAGAATTTGACCAAGCAGCCGAACTATAAGTAGTTTGGAAAAACTCGGCAAATAAATCAGCAATTTCAGAATCCGTCGATGCCTCCATTGAGTTAAAACGTACCGATGAAGGCAATGCTGACGACCTACGCTTGGCATTGACAAAGTTATAAAACTGCTACATACATACATACTTTATGGGCTATCGACTGATCTTTGCAAGCTGTGAAACTTTTCATCTGAACTTATCCGAACTTTCCAAAAATATCCTACAACAAATGCATGTATAAACAAGGAAGAACGCTATAGTCGAGTACCTCGACTATCAGATACCCGTTACTCAGCTAAAGGGACCAAAGGGAAATGGAGATATGCAAGCAGCAAATCGAGATTTAAATACGCCCCCTACCGGCGGTAGACAGATTTAAGCGTTATGGGCGTTAGAGTGGGCGTGGCAAATTTCTTTTTGCATCAATCGATAGGTATTGACGAGACCAATACATTTCAGTTAAAATTTTTTATCTAGCATGAAAACTGTGGCCGTCACAGGTTTGGGCGGTTTGTGGGCGTTAGAGTGGGCGTGGCAATTTTTTTTCGGGTCACTCGACAGGTATTGATGAGAAGAATACACTTATGTTAAAATTTTTATTCTAGCATCAAAACTGTAGGAGCCACAGTTTTGGGCGGTTTGTGGGCGTAAGAGTGGGCGTGGCACATTGCTGAAACAAACTTGCGCTGCGTAAAAAGCTCAGGAATCTGCACGCCAAATCTCATAGTTTCCGAGATCTCAGCGTTCATCCGGACGGACAGACAGACGGACAGACGGACAGACGGACAGACGGACATGGCTAGATCGACTCGGCTAGAGATCCTGATCAAGAATATATATACTTTATGGGGTCGGAAACGCTTCCTTCTGCCTGTTACATACTTTCCGACGAATCTAGTATACCCTTTTACTCTACGAGTAACGGGTATAATTACGTAACCCCTAATATATAACACCTAAATCCTCCTTCTCTGGTTAACAAATAAGCTTTGATCATTTACGACAAGCTAACGCATAAAAGAGTGCGTCAAAATTGGTTGGCAGACTTACTAGGAAATTATCGGAGCCACAACTCCTTATGGATCACTGAAATGTTAATGAATTGTATGAACATTTTTCAAGAAAAAGTGTATTTAAAGACAATATTTAAAAAATAAGTGCACCGTTGTGATGTTTCATCGTTTTAAGGCGGTATATACATTGTCTGCTTGTTTACAATATTCCCACTTCGTGCAGATAAGCGCCAAGCAGTTTAGTCTAAAAAATACAAATTATCTAATTGAATCGTGATATTCTTCGATTCTAACATATGCCTTCATTTTGTTAGACGAAATTCTCTCTGGTCGGGCACAAGTCGAAGTGAGAACTTGCCAATCACTTTCTTCGGAATGACGGTCTTTGCCCCTGGCTCATAAAACGCAGCTGCCTTTTGTTCTTTAGTTCGTGTGCAAACTGTACCAATTCGAGAACAAACTTTGAAAGTAAGGTTTTGGTTAACTTATTCAAAATACTAACATAACGATCCACTTCAGGGACCAGGATTTTTGTGTCCTTGTCGACAAAAACGCTGAGCAAGTGACATTCATTCGGTATAGTATTGTGGACGGTTTCCCCAAATACTCTACTGTGCAAATCTTTTTTTGAGCCTCCACCTCCACTTGGAAGTATGCCCAGGCAAGGGCGCTTCTTCCCTAGCCAGTAGTTGTCGGAAATGCAGACATAATGAACATCGGCAAGGAAATCGTTTTGCGTTCCATTAACAAGTCGTCAAACTTCACGTTTAGTGGCAGCGAAATGTTATGCTTTATGTAAGCCTCAATAGTATGGACCCAGCACAGCACATGTCCCTTGTCATCGGAAGCTCCGCGTTCTTACAACTTTCTATCTACCTTTACCATCCATCTTCCTTCAGAGCAGGCTGCACATCCAAATGCCCATATACCAACACTGTCTTCTTGGAGGCGTCCTTTCCCAGAGTTCCGAGCAGGACCTTTGGCAGGGGGATTATCTGGCCACTTGGCAAGGTTTGTTGAACCACATCCGCCAGTTTTATTTCAGAGCCCAGGGTCCTTAGTCTATATGCAGTCCATTCTACCATGCGATCAATCCCTTCTCGCTTTTCTGGGCAAGCTGAAACGGACTGAATTCCCACAACGGTTTTAAGGGCGTCAATCTAAGCTCCTTTTTTTCCTTCCAAAAAGCTGAAAAGCGACTTCGGTTGATTACCATTATGTAATTAGCTGACAGAAATGATGATATCTGTTCTAAACTAAAACAATTTACGACTCAGCTCACGTGTTAGTTAATGGTGTTTGAGGCCATTATATTCGTAGATAGAATGGACGATTGTTTGGAATAAACCAACCACGTTAGCTCACCCTCAGCGCAGCTTCAGCATCGCCTGTGGTCCGGCATCGCAGTAACCATTGTTACCATTGCAGCGACGCGATCGTCCTGCCATCAAAGCGCCCCGTGCCAGCGACAAGTACTCATTACCCCCTTGTCCCGCGGTGTGAAGAAGAAGAAGAAGTGCCTACTTCGGTTAGGCACAAACAGTTACGGAATCTTAATCTGAAAACCCGATTCTCCGTCTTTAATAGTTTCTGAGATATCCGTGTTCATATTTACGATTTTTTGATGTTTGTGGGCGTTGAAGTGGATGTGGCAAACTTTTGGTAGGGTCAATCGATATGTATTGATATAAACAATACATTTCAATTAAAATTTTTATTCTCGCATCAAAACTGTAGGAGCCACAGTTTTGGGCGGCTTGTTGGCGTAAGAGTGGGCGTGGAAAGCTGCTGAAACTCAATAGCCTAGCTCTTATAGTTTCCGAGATCTCAGCGTTCATCCGGACGGACAGACAGACGGACATGGCTAGATCGACTCGGCTAGTGATTCTGATCAAGAATATATATACCTTATGGGGTCGGAAACGCTTCCTTCTGCCTAATACATACTTTCCGGCAAATCTAGTATACCTTTTTAGTCTACGAGTAACGGGTATAACAAGAGAGAACGCTATAGTCGAGTATCTCGACTATCAGATATTCGTTACTCAACTCTTTAATTGAAAACTGATAAAAGCTAAGTAAAAATGTTAAGTTGACCGCTTTAAAATTGGAGTACGCTTTGTAGTATGGAAAGACGGGTTCTGGGACAATTTGCAAATTAATGGCCCCCGCCCCCTTACTAATTAGCATATTATTGGCCCCCTCCTAACTAATTAACATATTAATAGCCACCACTTCCTCGCTAATGTAAATTAACTGATTTTTAAAGGCTTAGATTCCATAAAAATGTCACGATCATATCAATAAAGAATATATTAAATTGCCCCCACTCCCACACCACCAGGTGACAATACTGATCACGTGACCTTTGTTACGTACGCCCTCCACATAGAGAGATTCACATAGAGAAACAACGATGAATCATTAGCCAAGGGAAGGGGTGCATGTGACTAACCAGACTCATACTGGTAAAGGCAGAAGAAAATACAATTCGGCAATTTTCGGGTGTCGCGTGGCCAGAACAATGGCCACGATCGACCTACTGGTAACCATACTCCGGTAGCTGGCAAAGGGCAACAGCCGGCCGTTCACTCCCAAGATAGCAGATATCAAGAAACAGTAATCCTAGGTGGGAACACCTAGTTTATCCGTTCCATACCGCCAGCCAAGTAAAAGCTCTAGTCTGGTATAAAAGACCTTAGACAAATAGAGAAAAGGACAGAGTCCATTTGGTTGTCTTGCAGCCGTCCACAGAGTCTTCTGTCACCAGAACCAGCCACCATATCCAATCGTATGTGTCGAACCAGCGCCGCCATTGTCATCAAAGAACGTGGAAAGGATCAACAATATGAACGACATCCGACAAACTGCGATGTTTGAGAACGCAGTATCCGTGACCTCCATGCACCTGAAATTTGTTCAGCTGTAGAAACCATCCGTTCCGAGGTGTATCGACCAATAGCATACGTCGGAGAAAGTAGTGATGCAATATAAATGTGTTAATCGAGCCAACCAGAGCTAGTGAACTCATGCATAACCAAAGACCAATATCCTCAAATATTACAATTGGATAACAAGTGAAAATCAAAAAAAAACATTGGAAGCACTCAAACATGCATTGAAATATATTTAAACCAACCGAATCAATAGACAAAGTGCGAATCATGATGAACAATTAGAGAGGACGAATCTCTCCTCCAGCCTTTGAAGAAGTCGCATGCCTCTGGCATAATATATATATATTTTGGGTTTAAGCGAATTGGTATACTTAATAACATCCGTATTTTGGTGCACGTATATTTATATATATCTGTTCGGAGCAGATCGCCAGCGCCTAGTCATGCGCGCATAGGTGTACGACGGCACCTGCAGCGCTCTCTGCTTATCTTTCGCCTTCTTTCTCATACCACTAAAGCTGTCGCTTATCTATTCAGCAACTACTTTGTAAGCCTGCATATGTCTATATGAAGATCTTGGAGCCAAGCTTTTTTCACATTCACAGTCCGTCTGCCGCTCCGAATAAACGCTATACATTTTAATATAACCTATTCGTGCGTTATTAATTATAAATATAAGGGTGGCATATTTGTTGTCTTCCCCACAAACATTTGGTGACCCCGACGTGATAGCAGTTTTTATCGGAGTCTGCAGCTCGGTCTCGCGATTGTTTAATATAGTTTAAACAAACGCTTTGTTTCGCTGTCCTTATCGTGCATTCGGGCACAAACATACGAACATACATAAATACATAAGTGCATATAAAAGTGCACAGCCGGCCGTTTGATTTTTTGTACATTTTGCGCTGTGAAAAAATACCAAAACTGTGTTGTGCAAACAATTCTTAACAAAGTGAATCGCATTTAATCTTTGTTAATAGCGCATATTACATATATATATGTACATATAGCCATACATACATTCGTTTGCCAGTTACATAATCCGCTGTTGCTAGGCAGGCAATTTGTCGGCAAGAACAACAACCACCAATTTAAAGGTTCCGTTGCATCTCGGCGACGCTTGTTAACCTTCACGTTTTCGCGGTAAAGGGTAAACGGTGTTTTGTGCCTCTAACGTGGTCGGACATTTTATTTTATTTCATTTTTATTTCATTTTTTTTCCTTTCTCGTGATTGAAAAATGTCTGATACGGAAAACTCGGTTCGGGCTCAAAATGAATCCACAAGTGACGTCGACTACTACCGAGTCAAAGCCCAATCTATTTTGCGGCAAATGAGATCGATGAAATGCTATTTAAACGCTGATGCGGTTAATCAGTTTGACGAAGCTGATTTGCTGGCGCGAATGGAATGGATCAATTCATTAAACCAGGCATTTGATTCTGCGCAGACATCGTTGGAAAGACTGGATTTTGCAGAGATCTCGAGCGACAATCGGATTGAATTTGCTGAAGTCTTCATGGATGTGAAGGCGAAACTAAGCCGAGGCTTGGCGGCTCATCGCAAGTCACAATTGCCGGCTTCAACCGCTGCAAATTCAACATCTATTGACATCACTAATAATGCGGATCTTTCTTTTCGATCTAGAAAGCCTCGGTTGCCAAATTTGGAAATTGCTCGTTTTCATGGATCCTACTCTGAGTGGCCGGATTTTCTTGCGACTACGGTCATCGGAAATGATGATGAGCTAAGCGACGTTGAAAAATTACAATATTTGCGTTCTAGTTTGGGCGGCGTGGCTCTGGAAACCATACGCTTGCTCGAACCCTCGAGTGCTAATTTTAAAAAGGCAATGAATTTGCTGGTTAATCTATTTGATAATAAAGTTTTACACTTTCAGGCACATGTTCAGGCAATATTCGGTTTAAAGGGTGTCGAGAAGGGATCTTCGAAGGGTCTTCGGGAGCTGAGCGATTGCATGAATTCGCATCTGCGAGCAATTCGAACCCTGGCCAATACGCAACAAATTTTGGATGGACTTCTAATTCACATCGTCACTTGGAAACTGGATCAGAGGACGCGGGAAAAATGGGATGAGGATTTGTCAATCACTGAGCTGTCTACCTGGGATGCTATGGAGTCGTTTTTGGAAAAGAGGTGCAGGATGCAGGCCAGCAGGTGGGAAAAAACTTGCACAAATATAACCAAAATACACTTATTGCATCTGCTAGTAACTCAAATCATTTGACATGCTTATTTTGCGATGCACGGGATCATTATTTGCCAAAGTGTTCTCGATTTTTAAATTTGAGTCCGAATCTTCGATATAGAGAAGCAAAGAAGTTGCACCTTTGCCTCAACTGTTTGCGCAAGGGGCATAGTTTGCAGCAATGCAAGTCGACTCACTGCATGTCGCATGAAGCACCATTCATTATTACACATGAACCATGACCCATCCGCAACATCAACCTCATTTTCATCTCCAACATGCGACCCATCCTCGAGCTCTCAGCCATTACCATCTACTTCATCAGCATTAGTATCATGTTCGCATACATCATCGCATCCTGATCATCATTTACCAAGCCCTCCACCCAAAACCTTAAATATTTGGCCGATCTACTACGTGTTGCTTCCAACTGCTATTATCTACGTCAGAAATAGAATTGGAGCATTTATGCCTTGCCGAGCAATTTTAGATTCGGCCTCCCAGCTAAACTTCATAACCTCTCGCTTAGCTAGCCAACTAAACTTGAATCACAGAAGATCGCAAACGTCGATTTCTGGGATAGGAAAATCTTCCATGATCTCTGATAGACCGTCGATATTCTTGTGCAATCACGGGATGCATGCTATCG